AGGCGGCCCGTGCACCGCTCGCAAGGACGGGCTGGGGACATGGTGCCTCCCCAAAGCGCCCTGGGGCTTAGGGGAGGAAAAGTTGCGCTGCCCCAGGGCGAGGAAGAGGAGCGAGCCCCTAATCCTCCAAGACATCACAGTGATCGTCGCTTCCCTGACTGTCCCCGGCAAAGGGCTACCAAGAGGCAGCTGAGCTGGGAGCAGCTACCACAGAGCTGCCCCAAAACACAAGCTGGAGTGGGGAAAACCAGTCTGCACCCGGGCACATGAGATGTAGACAGGGCAAAAGGCAGTGTCACACTCACCACCAGCTTGGGCACCCTTCCACGTGCAGCCCCTCCTGCCACCACCTCAGCCCAGGGCAGCAGAGGTATTTAGGCCATGCAAAGACAGGAGCCGTGCTCTGAAGTTGCTACCAGATCTGGTGCACCAAAGTCTGCTGGACTTGTGCCCGCCTTGGGCACAGGTGGGAAAGCAACGGCCTTGGACACCCAGGAGATCCCCCACTGCACGTGGCAGCTGGCGGCAGCCCCCGCCACCCTCCACGCTGGCACCCACGCGCACGGCCCCGCGCATCCCCGCGAGAGCCAACATCCGCCCTTACACATCTTGGACCGTCGCAAGAGGCAGCAATTACTGCAGATTATCAGCCCGACAATGACAGGCCGTGTAAAGAGAGACACAGAGCCAACTCCGCCGCCCAGAGACTGGCATATTCAAGTACACTTAGGACATTAATAGCAATTTACGTGCCATCAGTGAGAGAGCACCACAATAGCGGCGCTGGCAGCCTCTTATTACGAAGCCTGTTATTTGTTGGAGTTACAAGCTATAATCACAACAGAAACTTTCAAAACCCTTATCTTCCGTGACGCACCAAATCTATTTCAGAGCCGTAATTGCTATGTCACCGGAGCGTTTGCTGCTTAATGCACTCAGATGCCATTTAGTGTTTGCAGGGTCATTACAGCGAGCAGAAAGGGGGGGAGGAGGCGGAGGGGGGCCCTTCGGAGCAGGGCTCGGTCCCTATTGTGCCCGACTATTTTTAGAGCGGCTTTCGCCTGCCAGCCACGGCTGAAAGGAGCAAGAGGGAGAACGTCTTGGAGACCGTGACGGCGGTCCCTTGATATTCAGCATCTCTCCCCGTTCTCCCCTTTCTGCCCTCCCTCCCTCCAAAATACGGGAAAGCTATACTGTACTCCAGATTGGGAATCACCTTCCGCTCTTACATGGAAGGAGCTTGTTTCTTGTGTCCTCATGATCTCCTCTGTCGCAGGATTCAGTGGGAAGACAAGAGGATTTGGGGAAGATGCTGATCCAGCCTACCATGGGGCTTGGTAGTGCCCAAAGACACTTCCCTCTACTCCACAGCTCTGCTCTGCCAGCCCAGTAAGGCTCCTTGGCTGCAGATGGAGCAATGGGAAAGAGGCCCCAGCGCTGACCATAACCCGAGCATCGTGGGCCATCCATTGCTACACGGTCTGGACAAGCTCTCCACACGGAGCCTGGGTCCTGCACCCTCTTGAAGGCATGTAGCCACCATCCATGCTCGCCCCTCTGTTTCCAGGGTCCAACCCCGTTGTAGCCAGCAGAGTTCCCTGGAGCCTGAACAAAGTTTGGGAGCCTGTTGGGTATACTGTGGGTGGTAGCATCGGGACTACCCACAATGAAGTTGTGACATTCAATAAGGTCATATGGCCGACCTGTCCAGTCAGTCAGCTCTGCCTCTTTGCCCTGAATAAGGAGATCAGTTGATATCTGACCATACTGAACATTTGGGGATCTGCTGTGATAAGCACCTCCCTCCAGGACAAGGGAGGCTTCCGAGGAATCAGCAGTGACTGTTGCTCCTTGCAGAGAGGCTCTGGGGAGCCCTTGCACGTAGCTGTGATTGCTTCAAGAGGGACAGAAGCCAAAGACAAAACACGTTCTCAAACACCATGGGCATGGCCTTGCTGGCTGTCCAAGCTATGGAGCCACACTGATGGATTGCCAAAGTAACCGCTTTTAGTGCCCGTTCCTTTTATTGCTGCAGGTTTCGCAGCATTTTTGTCACCTCCAGCAAGTCTGGCTGCCTGTCAGCCCAGGGGTCGGTAGCTGAGTTTCTGCCTCGTTTTTGACGAGCTTTCTGCTTTGTGCAGAGGCTGTCTAAACATCCTGCTTTCTGTAGCCAAACCCTGTCCCACCATTCACCGGGCAGGCAGATGTTGGGCCAGCCACGAAACGCATCAGATACAAGGGAAACGGAGAACCTGATGGAACAGGAGTAGCCTCAAAGAGATTTCACACCTGCAATTTTTTGAGAGCCTGCTAGTCTCTCCTAGAATAAGCACTCAAGCTCTTAGTAAGGGGGAACCCAGTCATCTTCGGCCAGCCTGAGGAAACAAAGCCACATGTGATGGGTGCTGGATGCACATCTCTCTTTTCAGCCCTAGTCCCCTGCCTCAGGAGGCTGAGGCACTGCAGAGCTCAGAGGTGGCTGCTCTGACATGCAGCAAGTCTTGGAGCCTCTGCTACCCCTGGGCTGCTGCCTCTGGGTCAAGGAGTCAAAGGGGGCAAAATGGGGCACACAGGCAAGCACGTGTCAGCAGGCACCTGGGACCATGTAGGAATATCCAAAGTCACTTTCCCAGAGTCATGGTGGCAGCTCTTTTCCGGCAGTCTTTGGCAAAGACATCTTCCACAAGCCATCAAATTTGTGTGGCTCACAGACCAGAAGCCCCCGGTAGACCAGTTTTCAGTTGTGAATTGCAGCTTGTGGATGGGCAGAGCTATAGATGCTTTCTTGCAAGGCACCAGTTCTTGGAGAAAGGGTTCTCATCACAAGCATCCTACATGTATCAGGGCCACTGATGTGCACTGTGATGATCCTGCCTGCAGCTGACAAGAGTGGATGCAAAAATCGATCTCGCACACCCTGCTACTCACTACCAATATCTTAATGACAAATACTGCTGCGTAAATACACCCAGCAACACGGAACAGCATTTGTAAATCAAAAATTTGCACACTGATGAACGTTAAAAATAGCCTCCCACATTAGTCTTTTAAACGATATATAAATTGGCCTGTCCAATTTTCTCTGCTAGAAGGTTAGAGATGGGAAGAACAAGCGAGAGAAGGAGAGGGTGTGCTGAAAGAGGTTTTGCTAAGATGATTATGACTCCTTAGTTGATTAGCTGGCTGATCTATACATTTGTAGCAACTTTATTCTGACTTACAAATGTGCTCGTAGGTAAAGCCAGTGGAGCAATTGCACTTCATAACACAAGTGCATTGGCAGATCAGGGGAGCCCTGTCCTACAAAGATTCACCGAGATTCACTCACTCAGTGGTCAGCACTTGTCCCCAGATGGGTTCAACAGGGATTTAAGAACTTAAAATATTTAGCAAATTAAGGCTTGCAGAGTAGTGCAGGAAGGACAATACTTTGAGCTGGGGCTATCCAACAGGTTATGGGACTAAGAGTCTCACTTTTATTGGATGTCATCACGATAAGGACTTCTAAATCCTTTGCGAATCTCAGCTACGAGGACCCAGGGACACGTATACATGCAGACCCACCTGAAAAGGCATCATTCAGTGCAAAAAAAACCCCAGCCTCAAAGCTTGCAAGAACAGTACAATCAGGCACAGGGTCCTTCCTTCCTCCTAGGGCCATCCAAGGCAGGCAGGGCACCTCCATCGCTCCTTGAGTGAACACGTGAGGCTGCAGAGTCCTCCCCTTTCCCTGTGCAGAGCGCTTCCCACCGCGTCTCCGGCTGGGATGAGGAGCCAGCTGTTTTCTCTCTGCCTCAGACATCATCGCAGGTCACAGGGATGTGCTGGTTGGGACATAGCTGATTATTCTGGTAACGATGCAGAACTGACTGCAGCCCTTCCAGCCCCGCAGAGCTGACTGGAGCAGCGCGGGGCAGTCTGTCAGCCGTCGAGCCGCTGCGATGGGCAGACACACTCGCAGCACAGACACACAGGAAACCAGGCTTTGGGTATATTTTTGTCCTCGGCTGTCATGGCTTACATGCATTTAAAAATTCATCCTCCATCAAGGAACGCAAAGCCTATGCGTTGTCTCCCTTGCCAAGGTCTGTAACGGTGGAGCTGGGGAACCTGCTTCTGACTTCCCAGACCTGACGGGCTCTGGGGATGACTTAACCTCAGCCCTGCGCAGAGATCTTTGTGACAGGGCTCTTGACTAGGTTTCGGTTCATCTCCTCCCAGCGGCTCACAGGGATCCTCGAGTCATGCAGGGTTTGCACAGTTTTCTGTGTCACTAGCAGCCTTCTCCTGCAACCCTTTCTCAGCATTGAAAGGTTTAGGAAAAACCTGCCCGCATCTCTGACGAGGCTTCAGGGTTCTTCTTTCTCATGCCTGGATAAAGCAGTTGCTTGGACTTTGCTGAGGAGCCACCCAGAAGGCAGCCACAGTTCAGGGACGGACAAACCATGTGGCTGTGGTTCATCAAGCACTTTGAGATCTAGTTGGGGAGACATGAAGTGACCATAAAAGCCACAGAGACATGCTGCCAGGCATATGTGGGAAGCAAAACATTTGGGGAGAAAGAGACACACAACCCAGAAGTTGCTTCCTCAACATCCTGCTCATCTCTGAATAGACTTCCCTGCTCTCTGCCTTGCCCTAGGTGCCTGCCAGAGTCACAGCAGTGCTGTCTGGGGAACTGCACCCCGTGGAACTGAGGAGTCATCCCCAAAACCCGAGTGGGCATCTTGTCCACTCACCACACGGCCCGTCCCTGCAGGGCATTCCCTGCTCCTGGTTCCTTTCGGCTTCTGCTGCCTTACAGAATCAACCCAAGCAGCCATCAAATCCCACACATCCCAGAGCCCCACCTGGGAAGTGCAGGGTGGACCACAGAGCCTCTGTCAGCTTGACAGCTCCAGTGATGTCCACGCCAACACGAGCTCTCCCATTACCACCACTGCCGATGGCCAGAAGCACCAGAACAGTTGTTCTCATCTTATTTGGCTTCCAAGCTTGTACTACCTCTTTCTTTTCCGCTCTCCCATCGTTCCCCTCCCTGCTTCACAATCCCCAGCAGCAACCCTCCCCCCAAATTTTGGCTTAACCCAGCCTACTGTTATTTTCCAAGCCAACTGCAACCATAATCAGCTCAGCCTCTTTCCTTGGGGGTATTTTAATATATACAAAAGTATCATCTCTTATCATGATCAGCCTCCGATTCATTTACTCTTCAAGTATTAAAAAGCCAGAAAGGGAATAAATTCAGCGCACAGAGAAATTAATGCGGAACGATAGGCTCTTTCATGTGGCATTTTCAAGCACCGTTTTTGCAATGGGCTTATGTAATGAGACATAATTATCTGCACATGTTCAATTACATTACTTCACAAATCCTCCCTGGCTCTGCCTCGTGACGTCGAGCTTCCCGCTAAGCCCCAGCTCCATCCCTGCGCACCCAAGCGAGAGGGCAGGAAAGCACCCAGCCCTGCCGACCGCCTCTCCCACCTTCTCCTCCCCGACGCGGTGCTGCGGTCTCCACCACACCAACAGCCCAAAGGATTTACAGGCCAGGTCCTGTCCTCAGCAAAGCCCAGGTGGCCTCCTGGGCCAGTAAGGGCGAAGGGTCTCTGAGGGAGACGCGACAGGTCAACGCTCCTGCACGTGGAGCTGCCATCCCACCTGGGCGAACTGGCCTAGGCAGCTGAGGCTGTGTTCTCCCTTCCCCGACACAACCGTGGAGGGAGAGAAGGGCTGCAGGGTGTGAGGAAGCTCTTTCAGTGCCTCCTCTTGCGTCATGTCTCCTCTCAGCACCTTCCTTTCGAACTGACAAGAAGCCACAGATGCTGGCTGGCAGAGCCGGGGGCTCCCTTCGCTGCGCTTCCAGAGGTGGATTGCTTGGAGAAGACACCCATGGTGCTGCCGGGGGTGACTTGAGGGCTAGGGCTGAGCTCCCCACCAAGACTCCTCTTCCAGCCCTTCCCACGAGCTACACAAGTGGCAAAGCACAACAAATGCTGCCTTCCTGCCTGTCCCAAGAGAATCCCACCTCAGTCCGTAGCCCTCCTCAAAAGGGACCGCAGCGACCACACTGGCAGGGAGCCACGGCCAACCACCCCCTTCTCCGCGAGCCGCCCCAGCCAGCCAGCGCAGAACCCGCTCTGCACGCACAGCCTCCTTTTGCAGGCTGCCCCCTTCTCTCAGCTTGCTGTCACCGCCGCTGAGATGGCGGACGATTGATCTGAGAAATGAAGTTGGATTGCTGTCCCAAATCTACACTCGGTTCTCCTTGTGTGTGTCTGATCGATTTTGCCCTGTACGACACAGCTTGTCGCTATGAATTTTCATGCTAGTCAGAACCCGCCAGCGCACCCAGGAACAAGTAGAAGATGTTTTGAAGCCTTCCCTCCCCCTCCCACCCTCTCCCATTCCTGTTGGGTGAGCTTGCTTTGGGTGGCGCTTTCCTTGGCGCTTCCTTTGTGACCGTCCCTATGACCAACCCCATGGCCGCTGCACTGCCAACATCCTCCCCTCTTCCCTGGCCCAACTCGGGCTCTTGGCTGGGGATGGGTTATTTTTAGACGGCCGCTCGGGCTGCCGCCATGGCCTCCTTGCCTGGGCGTTCATGGTGACATTCCCCACCGCCGCCGCACTAGGTGTCACCTGTTTAGCAGCTCCTCTCAGCGGAACGCGTGTGGCCGCAGGTGCCACGCGAACGCTGATCCGCTCTGACAGGCCTAGACGCCAGCTGCCTGCACAAAGCCTGCCCAGTCGCCACTTTTTTTGTGGGCAAGACTCTGCCGTTGGCGTGACCGATACAGAAGCAATAAACTAGGTGACCGTAAAAGCAAAGACAAGTCCTACTAAGTGGCATTCTGAGCCCTATGGCTTTGAAATAATTGGTAGTGAGAGAACAAAAATGGAAGGAGAAGGAAAGAAAAATAAAACAAGAACCCAAGCCTATTTTTTTTTTCTTACACTGATGCCCTGCGGACTATACATCTGACTTGCTGCGAGTCCGTCACTGTATCCTCCTGTCTGGCTGATAACATGGCGAAGGGTATCCACCTAAACAAACCAACGACAACAAAGACACAAATTAGAGTGGAAGAAAGGTTAGCGGGCAAAGCTGCTTCCGTTCATCTTTGGCATGATAAAAACAAGGGAGTAAACAGTAATAGTAATAAAGGTACTTATTTAAAGAAGGGAAAAAAAAAAAAAGACCGCGATTGGTTTTGGAATGACATCTGAGGGCGAGAGCTGTTCCTGCCTCCCTCGCCTCCTGCCAGCCTGCCCCGGTGGCCCTGTCACACTTTGCTGTTGGTCTCAAGTCTAGGGCACACAGTGTTGCTGGTGTGCAGGTGGGGCTTGCTGGAGCAGGGCGCTGCAGCCACCTGACCGTTGCACCTGATGACCCATTTAGCTACCCTACGCCTTGCCACCCTTTGGTCCCGAGTGCCAGGAGGTCATGGCCATGGAGGGAAACCCTCTGAGTTGGGTGAGTGCAGCTCCCCGCTTGGTTTCAGGGGGCCCGGAGAGACAATATACCTACCACCACAAACGTATCACCATCTCTCCTCCATGTGCCCCCTTCCTCTCCCTCCGCTACCCATCCTGGCCCCGTGAGCGGTACGCGAGGTGAGGACATCCCATCGCCCATGGACGGCACGCTCTCCTGCGTCCAGATTTGTGAGGGGAGCAACCTTGGCTTTAGGAAGCTCTCTTTGCCCAACATGAAGGTGTCAGAGTGACTGTCATTTCCCAACCTGATACAAAGTTTTGCATGCCAGAGAGCAGACTCACGGCACATCTGGATATCAGATGGGAAGTGGGAGATCAGAGTGACTTTTTTTTTTAATTCTTTATTTTTGCCCAAAGCATGGGCTGACATTTCAGTAATAGTGCCCAAAGTTGCCTTGCTCTGTCTTGCTGGTCTCTAAATGGGTGGTGAGAATGCCTGAGCTTTAGGGAAATGGGGAGATGATGAGTGGGTGGCTTTTAATTACAAAAAAAGGAAAAAAAAAAAAAAGAAAAAATCTAGCTGCTGCGTATTTCAGCACTTTCAGCAGACAACTGGTTCGGCATCAAAGGAATGAATGGAAGCCTTGTAAAACGAGACACCAGTCCAAACATCTGGCCCTTTCCCTTGCAAGAATAAAGCAAGTAGAACCTAAACCTCAACTGTTTTGAGTACATGCCTGTTCTCCTAAACATCCTCTCCTCCTAATACGACTATCAAGCCAGAGCCAAATGCATTCACAAAGTGTGGGCAAGTTTCCTCAAGACCATGGTTTGTTGGTTTGTTTGGGTGTTTGGTTTTGGTTTCTTTTTTGATCGTTTTGATCGTTGGTGGTTGTTGCTCTTGCTTTTTTTTCATTTGGTCGGTTGCTTTTTTGCTTTGCTTTGTCTTTTTTAAGTGTTGGTTGGTTCGTTTGTGCTGGTTGAGATTTGCTCTTTTCGGAGGGGAGGGAGAAGTGCCAATACAATCAGAGGCTCCTCCAACACTAATGCATTCGCTGGCAGTACATCGGATGGGTCCCTACCTGTGACTGCACGTTGGCTCCAACCTGGGCCCCTTGGTAAGAATCCCCATTGAGAGACTGCACGCTCATGAACAAATCTCCAGAGTTTGACATGTTAAAGGAAATGGAA